AGTTACTTAAACTTACTACTATTAGTACGACTTTCTTTGAGAAATAGTAAAAAGGATTTGGTTCATTATGAAACTGGCAGGGCAGATTAGACTGTGCTGGGCCGTCAGACTACAGGTTTTACCATAACTTTACTTCAGTTAGGGTTAGGATTATGGTTAGGGTTAGCTAACATCAGTTTGACTTAATGTGTATTGTAAAATCAACCATGAGTTGTGTAAAAGGTGCTTTATAAATAAATAAAATAAAGAAAGATTATATTTTACAAGCACAAATATGAGTTTTCTATATTAGTATTGGCCAGTTTGTGTGTGACTTACACCCGATTTATGAGGACATCTGTTTTATGAGGACATCATCATCATGAGATGATGTTCTTGATGTTTGACTTGTCTGAAGAATCGGTGTGTGTGTGTGTTTGACAAAAGCCTGCTTTATGAGGACACTAGTTATTATGGGGACACAGGGGTTCACTGATATGGAATAACACATTTTAACACAACTCATGGTTGAGCCAAAGTGCTCTACAATACATAAAGTCACACTAAATAGAAAAACAATACAACTATACAATAGATAATTAATACCTAGTAAGAAGATAACCCTAACAGAAGTAAAAAGTAAAAAAAAACCTGTAGTCTGGCGGCCCAGCACAGTCTAATCTGCCCTGCCAGATTCATAATAAACCAAAAATATTTACACAAATATGAGTTCTCTATATCAGTATTGGCCACAATGAGCTACAAGTTATGGGTTATTAGGATCAATTTTAATATTCCATATCAGTGCACCCCTGTGTCCCTATAATAACTAGTGTCCTCATAAAGCAGGCTTTTGTCAAACACACACACACACCGATTCTTCAGACAAGTCAAACATCAAGAACATCATCTCATGATGATGATGTCCTCATAAAACAGATGTCCTCATAAATCGGGTGTAAGTCACACACAAACTGGCCAATACTAATATAGAAAACTCATATTTGTGCTTGTAAAATATAATCTTTCTTTATTTTATTTATTTATAAAGCACATTTTACACAACTCATGGTTGATTTTACAATACACATTAAGTCAAACTGATGTTAGCTAACCCTAACCATAATCCTAACCCTAACCATAACCCTAACCCTAACTGAAGTAAGTAGAGTTATGGTAAAACCTGTAGTCTGACGGCCCAGCACAGTCTAATGGTGCTTTTCCACTACACAGTAGCAGTTCGGCTCAGCTCGCCTTTGTTTGGTTTTCCACTGTGTAAAGGTTGAACCCGTTCCTGCTTTTAGGTACTTTTTTTTGTATCACCTCCAGCAAGGTTCTGAGCGAGCTAAGGCGAGCCGAGGCAATACTAAAATATGACATAAAAACAATAACGACTGCTAATTGGGTTAGGGTTTGGGTTAGGGTTATTCACTGCGTCATCAATGCACACGCCAAATGGAGTATCCAGAATAACCCTGCCATTTTTAAATAGTTTGGCCAGAGATAGTTACTAAACTTACTACTATTAGTACGACTTTCCTTTGAGAAATAGTTAAAAATATTTTTGGTTCATTATGAATCTGGCAGGGCAGATTAGACTGTGCTGGGCCGCCAGACTTCAGGTTTTACCATAACTTTACTTCAGTTAGGGTTAGGGTTATGGTTAGGGTTAGGATTATGGTTAGGGTTAGCTAACATCAGTTTGACTTAATGTGTATTGTAAAATCAACCATGAGTTGTGTAAAAGGTGCTTTATAAATAAATAAAATAAAGAAAGATTATATTTTACAAGCACAAATATGAGTTTTCTATATTAGTATTGGCCAGTTTGTGTGTGACTTACACCCGATTTATGAGGACATCTGTTTTATGAGGACATCATCATCATGAGATGATGTTCTTGATGTTTGACTTGTCTGAAGAATCGGTGTGTGTGTGTGTGTGTTTGACAAAAGCCTGCTTTATGAGGACACTAGTTATTATGGGGACACAGGGGTTCACTGATATGGAATAACACATTTTAACACAACTCATGGTTGAGCCAAAGTGCTCTACCATACATAAAGTCACACTAAATAGAAAAAAATACAACTATACAATAGAGGGTATGCGCGTGACGTCACCGTCAGCCGGAGTGTCTGCAGTTCCTCACAGTGAGTGGCAAAAAGACTTGAGCGGCTGTATATGTGTTCAGCGTGAATGACACGAAAAACAAAAACAACACACACAAATAAAGTGGGAAAGAGATTTGCGATTGACTGTACAACTAGATTTGACAAAAAATCGCAGGTATATTTTTACAGACTGCTATAGAAAGAGGAGCAAATGGATCGCTGCAATTCACAGAAACAACTGGACTCCAGTCAGCCAAAGGTGGATTTGCAGTTATCATTTTGTGTCAATATGCTGAATTTAGGTGTAAAACCATACCCATATAATTTGTATTGTTATATATATATTAACAACTCATCAATTAAATATTTATCATTGCATTTTCTGCATTATTGGATGTTTTTTAGTAAACACTGACCAAAAAAACCTATAAAGTTTTAGGGCTGGACGATATGATGATATATATAGGCTATATATAACACTCATATAAGTGATTAACTGGATTTAGACCTACCAATATTGTATTTATATAAAGCGTTCACAGGCAAATTTGCTTTATGTTTAGGTCTATATTGCTTTTATTTCCCCGGTGTCGAAATCAGGCAAACATAAATGTCAGGCAACACGATTCCTGTCTGCATGTCAATATCCATGGATCACTGGATCTTTCGTAAGTTGTAAGGAACACTATATTGAGTCCAACATTTAGTTGAAATTGCTAAAATTGTTCGTTTTAGTCCCATTTTCGCAGTTCCCCCTATTAAATCCAGTCACGTAGCAGGTCTTTTGCCACTCAGTCGGGCTGAGGGGGTTTGTTCCGGCGGGAAAGTCACGTCAATGCATTCCCTCTATAGATAATTAATACCTAGTAAGAAGCTAACCCTAACAGAAGTAAAAAGTAAAAAAAAAATCTGTAGTCTGGGGCCTTAAATATTGATTTCTGATAAATTGTTATTGAATGAAATTATTTGGTATTCTTGCATATTTTTTAATGATATATACATGATTACAAAATAAACTCAAATCAATATTTCACGTTCACATATTTAGTGGTCAGTAGCTGTGGGACCCTGATCAACCTGTCCATGATTATTTTGCATTATTTACTAGGGGTGTAACGGTTCACAAAATGCACGGTTCGATATGATACAGTGGTGACACGGTTCGGTATGTTTTCGATACAGCAAAAAGAATGAAATGCCAGAGAAATTTCCTTGATTTTCAAATTTGTATTCATTTATTAAAACTAACATCATAAAGTATCTTTTTTTTAATTTGAACAATGATGGAGCTATACTTGACTCTTCTTAGCAGCATATAAAGCAAAAACTTGTAAAAAAAAGTTTTTCAGTAGCATATAAAGCTCATTGTAAAGAAAATTAAATGTAATATTGTAGTAGTTACGAATAGGGATAACAAAGGTTATTTTATTTGGTCCAAACCCGTAACGGTTCGTTAAGCACAAATGAGTTGCGCAGTTTCGTTCCGCTTTCATCACGTTTGCATCAGTTGGGCAGTGTTGTGGTGGTCGCGCCAGTGCAAATACTAGCATAATTTTGGTTGGCAGGAAAAATGGTCCATCAAATCATTTGGTTTGAAATACATACCAAACTGAAAGCCTCGTACCAAACGGTTCAATACGAATACGTGTACCGTTAAACCCCTATTATTTACTGGCTATATATTATGCCTTAGACACATTTGAGATTTTTGGGGGTTTAACAATGTTTTATAACTCTTAGAGGAAGTGTTTATGTAAAGTTTCTTCTTATTTTCAGATGAGCCATTTGAAAACTCACATGGCTGAAGTTGGGGTGATCTCGGGAGGCGATACCTTCAGACTGACGGCAGGAGGTCTGTACTCTATCACAGCTTCAATTGGTCATGGACCGCCCAAGTTGACGTTTGACTGACTGACATGCAAGGTAACCAATGACCGTTTTGTTCCATGTCATGTTTAGGGGTGTGCAAATGTAACATCGATGTGCCTACAATAACAGACGGCGTGAATCTAAATTCTTCAAGAACGTGCAGGTTTACTGCAACAGTAGAGCTGCGAACCTCACATAGTTTTGAAAATCCAGCAATTAGTTAATCTTGGTAAGCACTCATTGTCACAGTTGTAAACACGATGGCATTCTTCTTCCATGATGGGGTTCCATCACAGGGCTCCAGACTGCAAACAAATGGTCGCATTTTGCGACCAAAATTTGAGAGTGTGCGACTGAATTTTACATCCAGTCGCACATGTGCGACCAGTAAATTTGCCGCACGTTAAACGCATGGTAAAGCGGCGCGTCAATGAATCCGTGACAAGAATAGCGCGCGTAAACGTCTGTGGGAAGGAGACGGAGACAAATATCACAACCTGATGTGCGTCTGAGCAATCAGCGATCTATCGACTCGTTAGTCGTTACCTAGCAGCGAATGTAAACAAAATGAAAGTGGAACGAAAATACGCCACTCATAGCTATGATTAGGACTGTGGAGCTGCAGCAGCGATCCGAACCATTGACAAAATAAAGCCCCGAACTTGCCAGTCGCGGGCCGATCTCGCTCACGCAACACTGTTACTAGATCCAGTAAAGAAATCCATTGAATTCGCCTCAGAATTAATAACATCAACACCACGAGATCCAGTGAGAAACACTCTGATTCGGCGCAGAGTTCTGTTATAAACCATATCAGATCAAACAGCGCTGACGTGGAAACCAGGAGAAACACTTGACGTTAGGCTTTCAGTCCACAAATCAGCCTATCAGAACCATGCATTTAGGCTAATGTAGTAAGTTAATTCTAACCATAAATATGATAATGTGTAAGAAATAATCAAATGCTTACAAGTAGCCTACTACACATCTTTTCCCAGCACTTCAATAATATCATATTTGTATTTTTTATGTGATTACCAACACATTTTTTGTTCATCCTTTAAAGATTGTCCTAAAACGAAAAATTAAGATGTTGGAAAACTCTTATTTAAACACAAAAAATAATAATAGGCTACCATTGTAAACAGGATGTTTATTGGCTATTTTCACTCCATAATCCATATACATATTTCACTACTTTTATTAATTAATATTAAGACATTATAAATGATAGTAACTAAAGTTAATTTCATCTACTTTCATCTACACCCTAAATTAAGCTTAGTGATTTATTGTCAGCCTCCGTGCTACCACATTTTTATTTTATTTTATTTTTTTGTAGAACTCGCTGTGAGTTCTCATTTGAGGTGATGCTGCCCTCAACTTTGAGTCTGGAGCCCTGTGAACTTAAAATAAAACAGCATATCATAATGTCAAGTCTATTTATTATTAAAGAATTTGTCAGTATTACAGTTATTTTGGGGGAAATTTGAATAATTGCATTGCAAGCTGATTTAAGGTGTGCCCCTAAATTTTCTGCTTGCGCTCCTAAAATTTTCAGTCAGGGGCAACAGCGCTCCGAGTAAAAAAAGTTAGTCTGGAGCCCTGCATCAAGGTCGGTCCGAAATCTTGGAGTAATCTTTGATGACCAGCTGACCTTCTCAGACCATATTACACAGATAGCTCAATCATGCAGGTTTGCACTGCATAACATCAGGAAGATCAGACCTTTCCTAACTGAGCAAGCAACATGGCATCTTGTCCAGGCCCTGGTCATCTCTAGGCTTGACTACTGCAATGCTCTTCTGGCTGGACTTCCATCATGTGCAACTAAACCTCTACAAATGATCATCTCTCTGCACTGGCTGTCACTCGCTACTCGCATCAAGTTCAAGGCGTTGACTCTTGCGTGCGTATCGACCACAGGATCAGCTCCCTTCACTCACTCACGAGTCTACATCCCTCCCTACCAGAAGCCTACGATCGATCAATGAGCGACGGCTCGTGGTACCATCACAAAGAGCCACAAAATCACTCTCCAGAACATTCTCATTCATGGTTCCAAGCCGGTGGAATGATCTGCACATATTCTTTAAATCTTTACTTGCCTGGTTTATGCTACTCTGAGCAATGTTTGAACTTTGTATTTTGAACACTTCTTGTGTTGTTATTGCCTCTTCACAATGAGTTGTTTGATTTAGTCCTCAGTTGTAAGTCGCTTTGGATAAAGGCGTCTGCTAAATGACTAAATGTAAATGTAAAATGCTCATACGGCATTTCAAAAATTAAAAGAGATGGCATCTCAAAGATATGCAGAAATGGCCAAAGCAACACTTGCCAGAATGATTGTTTCTTGATTGATCGTAGATGTGCTGGAGAGGTCTTTAAATTGCTACTCAAAGGCTTTAAAGAAAGGCACAGCACTTGCCACGGGCCAGGCTTGAACAGAAACTCTGCAGCCAAAGGGGGAAGAAAGGTTGCTGTTCTTCTCTCGCCTGATATGGTTGATGCCCTGACACTGCTGGTCAGCAAGAGAAGTGAATGTGGAGTGCTGGACACTAATGAATTCTGGTTTGCCAGAGTCACTACTGAGGCCCTGACTCTCTTAGGGCCTATGCAGGTCAATGTGCAGCTCATAATCCAGAGTTTCTTGGATCAACTCTTCTGTGCAAACACATAGCTACTCTCTCCCAGATCCTAAACCTGAAAAACGATGTAGTGGATCAGGTCACCAACTTGTTGGGACATGATATCCACATCTATCATGACGATTACAGCCCAGAAGCCACTTCTGGGCTGGCTAAAATATCAAAGTTTCTGCTAGCCATGGAAAAGGGCCGCTTTCCTAATATTCAATGTCACATGATGACATTGAGACTGAAGGTCTATCCTAGTGTAGGAGGTTAAGTGGATCTTTTACACTCATAGGGAGGTTTAAGGAAACTGGTGTGTGATTGTGTGTGCATGACTTAAGGTAACTTTACAGTTAAATACCTTTTAAACAGATATCAATGTTTCTCATATTCTTATTTCTCTTTTACTTCAAGATGAGATCAGAATGACTGGATGCCAGTAATCCTGATGAAAGCCATCCTGAGGATGATCATTTCTCCAATGCTTTTGGTATGTCAGCAGTTTGTTTTATTACAGAAATTAGTGACCAATATTGTTATTGTGGTGTCTACCAATAAGCTGATAATTATTTTCATGTTATGGCCAAAAACTGATCAAATTACAGTTGACCATAAGTTTAAAAAGGAGATCTTAACGGACTGATAACTTTAAGTCCTTTTAAATATACTTAACAATAAGGTTCATTAGTAAACTACATTAGTTAACATCAACTAATAATAAACTGCACTTCTACAGCATTTACTAATCTTTGTTAATGTTAATTTTTTAAATTTACTAATGCTTTATTAAAATCTTGTTAACATTAGTTAATGCACTGTGAACTTACATGAACAAACAATGAACAGCTGTTCAGCGGTTCTTTAATATTAATGTTACACTGTGTCCTAACTACATGCGACGCCGCGACATGCGATAAAAGGTATCTTTTCCATGTTAATCAGAGTTTTTGCCCTAACCAGACGTGACGGCGACACGCAAAGTTTCTAATTTAGAAACGGTTCCTATTTCTGTGACGTCGCGGCTGACAGATTACACAGATTACAAGAAATTACACTGGTTATGAGTACACACTATTTATTTTTAGTTACAAATAGGTCACTATGCCACAAGCGATAATGGATAATTTACCTCAGATTTTGAAAGCATAATAATATAGCATTCAAAATGAATTCTATGCAAACATACAACTGTACTTCATAACAAAATTAGTCAATGAGTATATTTTGTTAATGTTTTGATTTTTAATAATGTTATTTCTTGATTTGATTGTCCTTACCCATTTCCAATGCGATTACGGGCCAGCAGTGCGCTTTGACAGAGAGACTCCGCCCACACGCTGTTCTGAATGGCTGTGATTTTTGATTGACGTGTGGCGTCTCACAGTCGCGTCACGTCTAGTGTGGACAGACACACTTGCTGTCGCTGGAATTTTATCACGTCGCATGTAGTTAGGACATGGTGTTAAATAATATTATTGATCTCCTGCTTTGACATCATTATATGAGAACTGAACTGAGCTGGACTATGACATCACGGTTTACTCCAGAGCCGCTAAATATTTGAATTTATATGAACTAAATGAATAACTTTTGTTACAACAGAAATAATCCATCACAGAAATTACTAAAGCTGAACTATGACTCTGTTTTCTTCTAGATCTGCTGTACAGCACTCGATGAAAATCACTGTATTTCTGGAAAGCGGCTTTAATAAAATCTGTATATTAAAAAGCGCTATTTAAATAAAGGTGACTTGACAGCAATCTCTTTAATTTGTTTCCAACTATTTTTATTACTATTTATGTTTATGAAATAGTAATAAAAATATCTGAAAACAAATTAAAGACATCTATCTAAATGAATTCCATCTCTTTGCATTTTACAGTTGTTGTTGTTGTTTTTCTTTTTACACAAGACAGATTGTAGTGTACCTTGAGATTTATGTAAAATTGTCAGGCCAACAACTAATGTTGACAACAAGCACTAATAAACTCTGCTCCTTGCACAATGTTGTATGTCCTGGTGTGTGTTAAAAGGTCATATGGTCATGTGAATATATCCCACAAATAGCAGGTCCTTGAATGCACTGTTTAAAATTTATAGGTGCATATTTACATCACCATACAAATATTATACTTTTAAGTGTTCTGGTCTGTTGTCAGTATGAGCCACAGGTATGGGGTGTGTTTGCAGTGCACAGACGTGTGCCGAGTCTAATCATGTTCTTATAAATCAGGGACGTCCTGTTAATACACAATGCCTTCACTTTTGTGTATGTGTATAGCCATGTCCCTCTAATACACTGTAATGACTGTCCTTATAATTTAGTTTTGTTTCATGGGCGGGGCTTGTCTATCTAATTATCAATTGTCCCCGTAAGTATGTAAAATGTCAGGTTTGTATATTATAAATTGTGTTTAGTGTATCCAAATTCTGAAGTGAAATCTATGTTGTATGGCACAAATCAGATTTTTTGATACCCATTACATCTCTGTAGAGCAAGTGGAAAGGGGTGTCCCCCTAATACACCAACAGACTGGTTTGGGCTGGAGTGTCCTTGTAATTAACAAAAACCCGTATGTGTGTGTGTGTGTGTGTGTGTGTGTGTGTGTGTGTGTGTGTGTGTGTGTGTGTGTGTGTGTGTGTGTGTGTGTGTGTGTATATGTGTGTGTGTGTGTGGGGGGGGGGGGGGGGATTTAGTGGTAGGGTTAGTATAAGGAGACCCCTAGTTGCTCCAGAGGCGTGCGACATATATAGCAATTGTAAGTCGCCTTGGATAAAAGCGTCAGCTAAATGAATAAATGTAAATGTAAGGAGAGAATATACAGTTTGTACAGTATAAAATCCATTACGTCTATGGATAGTCCCCATTTATGTGTGTGTGTGTGTGTGTGAGGTTTTAGCGGTAGGGTTAGTGTAAGGGGGTGGTGATGGCGCAGTGCATAAGACACATGCCTTTTGTGTGAGAGTCCCGGGTTCGAATCCACTGCGAGATATCCATGTGTCCCTGAGCAAGACACTTAACCAGTTGCTCCAGAGGACGTGCAACCTCTGACATATATAGAAATTGTAAGTCGCTTTGGATAAAAGCGTCAGCTAAATGAATAAATGTAAATGTAAGGAGAGAATATACAGGTTGTACAGTATAAAAATCATTACGTTTATGGAGAGTCCCCATTTATGTGTGCGTGTGTGTGTATTTAGCGGTAGGGTTAGTGTAAAGAAAGAATATACAGTTTGTACAGTATAAAAACCATTACATATATGGATAGTCCAGATGTATGTGTGTGTGTGTGTGTGAATGAGAATGTGGGTGTGTGTATACATACCCAGGAAGATCTGAGGATCCCTCGCTGACAGGCATCCATCCAGATAACTGTTCCTGTTCTGTGTCTGGGAACCCTGATGACTGGGAGAGAAAACAAAAGGAAGTTCAAAGAGTGTGAAGAAAGCTGGCTCTGATCTCAGCCTGAGGAGGTAATGCATTAACATTCACACTGCTGGTCATCAAAGACACTGAAAATCTGTGTGTGAGTGTGTGTGTGAGGGCACAATGTGCCAAATGTTATATTTCGTCCTCCCCCAGAGAAATCATAGATTCACCAGATCAGGATCAATTTTGAGATGACAGATATATAACATGACATGAACTTTATTTCCAGCATTTAAGTTAAAATGGATATTAATGTATGGGAAAGGAAAGGTGTAGTGTGACCCTGGCAGTCTTTCACATTTTAAATCATGTTTTAGTGTTTTTGAAGTTCTCTTAAAGGTGAGTGTGTAATTTTTGTTGATGTTAAAATCTTTTCACCACACCCGACATAATATGCAAAGACAAAATAAAGCATTACTAGGTTAATTTCCCTGAAAAGAAACTTTGTGGCTCTGGTGCTGTAAAAACATAGCTCTTTTTGAGCATCTTAAAGGGATAGTTTGTCCCTATCCTAGTTTTTTTCGGATGACAAAATGAGGGAAGTTTCCTAAACACAAACACACCATTCGGAGAAATCAATAGTTATTTTACAGAACAAAGTATACTCCTTTTTTTGGTTTGCCTTTTTTGTGTATTGGTTTGTGTGTGTTTTGATTACTCGCTGTGCTCGCTCTATAATTTCCTGTGTGAACTGGAGTGAACCGCTGAGCAAATGCAAATTTGTGAACACACTTGGATTTTGGCTAAATAATAAATTAAAGGTTTGTATCTTATTCCCTCAGAACACTTTGAATACACATCAACAGTTTTATTTGATCTTTTTTGTTTACATTTCTCCTTTTGAGGTCCAACAAAGAATGATCATAATTTTCATTTTTTCATGTCATCAACATATTTAAGTTTTTTTTATCTTTGATTTGTCATGCCTTAAAATAGTTTGAATGTAACTCGACACCCTTGCCTCATTTGGTATGCAGCTCAATGAATATGCAAATGACCCCCCGCCTCCACTCACTCACTCACTTAGCTCAGAGATCCTCTGATTGACCCAGTGTTGTGCAAGTTCCTTCCAAACTGTAATACATTAGGTATTACTTGTTACTGTTATTTAAAAGTAATTCATCACCTTACAATATTACTGTCCCAGAATTGTAATGCGTTACATTACTCATGTATTACTTTTGAGTTACTTTCACCAAAATAACTAAGTAGAACTTAACTTTTAGGCTGTAACGATATGCAATATGAAACCGAAATCGCCATTCGAACACGACTCAGATCCACGAACCTACAGAATCGTGACACACCTCTTCCAACTCCAGCGTTATTCTCCTTACCGTCCAGATCCAATGCTGCCTTATCTTTAAATTAGGCTATTAGTATTATTTGAAGTTAACATTATAACGTAGACCTACACCACAAAACTAGTTAAATGGACTGCATTTATATAAAGGCTAAACACTATATAAAGGTAAAGGCTACTTCCTTAAAGGACTCCAAACATTAGACAAATATCAGTCTATGTTTTATTTTTAATATTAGGGAAAAGACACACATTCATGCGTGACAAAAAAATAGGAGGCAAAATACATTTTTTGTAATTCTGTTAATTACACTGCGCAAATCGGATGAGGAAGGGTTGGTACTCCAGTCTCCATAGAACTTAAAATATTCATTTTATTTTAGTTTTCGTGTTCGCATTTATGAGGAAAAAACAATGTTACAGACGCGACCGCTCTGAACTGGCACTAAAAGACTGCTTTAAAACTTTCACATAGTCTGTTGCCTTTAAGAAGTAAAAGCAGACAATACACTGTAATACAACTGTAATACAAGCCTCACTGAACATGTAAAATAATATTACTGAAAATTGATTAGTAATGCCTTACACTACTGCGTTACAGCAAAAAGTAATATGTTACTGTAATGTATTACTTTTGTAATGCGTTACTCCCAACACTGAAAACACCACATATAAACAACATTAATAGCTTGATTTACACCACAGGAATTCAAACACCCAGCATGGCAACACTGAATTTGGTGAAGTGTCAGTTTGCCCAACCAATGGAAAACTGGGTAGAATGTTGAGAAAACCAGTATGAAAACAATCATTAATCTTGCTATGTTAGTTAGTGGTGCACGAATTACACCCTTCACCTGAATATTAATTAATTGTGAGCTCATGATCCTGCATGCATAATAATTAAAGAAAGTAGCTTTGTTTATGATGCAGTTAAATTAATGGTAATTTTTCATTACTCATTTTGAAAACTGAAGTACCGCTGTACTTCTGGGCATCGTTCTTCCTGTACTTTCGCTCTCTCTCTCTCTCTTTTAATCATGTAAGTTGAAAAAAAACAGAGCCAAATGAAGAATCCTCTGGCTGGAGTTTAGCAAAGAAACTCTCATTTCACCACCACAATCTAACCCAATTCTCCAGTCTAAATCTGTGTGGAATAAATTGCCACAGAATACAAATGAAGGGGTTCAGAAGTCAAGAACTTGGCTTTTTTTAATGAGGACAAAAACCTATCAACACATCTAACCTGTTCTGCTTCATTTACTGCCTTGCTCTCCCTGGAGTCACTCGAGCTCTTTTTTCCTTAGTCGACTCTCTCTCTCTCTCTCTCTCTCTCTCTCTCTCTCTCCATCTCTCTCTCTCTCTCTCTCTCTCTCTCTCTCTCTCTCTCTCTCTCTCTCTCTCTCTCTCTCTCTCTCTCTCTCTCTCCCTCTTGGGTTTGGTTTCTGCTGCTCTCCCCTCCTACATCTTCCAACATTTAAACCTTCACATTGCCAAGAGCGAACTCCGTTCCAGTACGAAAAGGTCATTTTAAATAAATAAAGCAACGAGGAGGTATCTCGCCATCCCACACTCATGCGTTAAAGACGCTGCGTGCCAGTTTTGTGCTTTTTCTTTCTCTTCTAAAGCTTCATTTGCCTGGAGGGCACCAGAGAGAGTTAAACAAGAGGAGCAGGACTTCAGAATCCACACCTACTCAACGGCTATGTCTGTGTTAGTCACGGAGCGCTGCTTGATTCTTCAACTGTTGTCGGCTCTCGAACGGGATCCTGATATATTAACATCCCCTGAAAGCATAGCCATGGCATTGCAGCTAAACAGCTGTGCTTGTTTGGCTTTGGCGAGATAAAAAATACAATAGAGTGAGCAAGCATGAACAATGCGAAAGACATCAACAATACACAGCTATGAGACATCAAACAGAAACATGCAGCATTTCCATGCCCATGCTTTATTTTAAACATTTTACAAGACAATGGCAGATTCTACTATACAGTAGTGGCCAGTCTAGGAAAATGACATCTTTATTCAAAATTTTAAAACTAATAAAGTTTTTTTTTTTGTAAGCCTATACTTTGTGGTTGTGCTTTTATTAATGTTAATGCAATGAAACACCATTATCATTTTTGAACCAAAATTTTGAACACACATTAAAAATATTTTTTAATATTAAATATTAATCACCGATTACGTTGTAGTCAACCCATGCTTTTTTTCCGTCAGCTTTTTTTTTTCTCTGCACTTTTTTTTGCACTTAGTAAAAGTAAACCTGTAGCTGTTGTTTGCCTTTTAGTCGCCAAATCATTTTGTCATATTTTGATCATTGCAACAATAAAATCAAATATACCCTCTGGAAATCACTTTTGGCCACTATTAAAATATTATATTATATTATCTAAATGTATTTAATTATTTAAATTATTATTTTATTTAAATCAAATTGTATTATTATAATTATTATTATATTTAAATATATTATTATTATTATATTTTGTATTTACTTAAATTATTATTATGATGCTGATTTTATTTAAATGTATTTAATTATTTATATTACTATTATTATATTCAAATGTATTTAATTATTATTATTGAGATTTTAGTTGTGTAACTAAAATATACAACTTTATATAATTCTTTTATTTTTTAATGTTTTTTCAATTGTTTTTTTGTTTTCAATGTTCTATGGCCAAAGAAAGACTTCCTAACACAATATGTCTGTTATTGATTTTTTTCTCCTCTCATGATTTATATGTATAAAGGCATCAATCTTTCAGTACAGTTGATGTTGGCTTCGTTAATCATTTGTAATTGTGTTCCATATCCCGTTTATTAGGTGTTCCTATTGTGGTCTTCCCACATTCACCTGTGTAGCGTCTCCATATCACTGAGCCCAGCCCTTTCCACAACACAGGGAATGCAGTGTGTTACATCATCTGGAGCGCTTTATCAGATCCTGGAACAGTGGAGGGTAGAGGACTCTCAAAGGGTGTTTTGTCTTTCCTAGGGCTTAGAACTCTCTGAACTCGCGGCTTACCCCGTCCAGACACGGGTATTTGTTTACAGCGGCCCAAATTTGGGGCTTTTTATCACAAGCTTCGAGAGGCTTTGGGAAGAGGAAGTGCTATAGAGCCGGGCTTCTGATCAGCAGAAAGATATAAAAGCAAATCCGTTGGGTAATCCAGTCGTCTTCTTTCAGTTATTAGTTAAATAAAGCGTGAATAAGTCAGTTGTTTAGAAATGGAGAGAGTTATCAGATTGTTATATTTTATTAATTAGTTATAATAATTAAGTCATTATAATGGGGGTTCAATCTAAGGCAATACCCAAAATTATTCCAAGATATCCAAACCAATGAAAAACACATTTCATTTGGCAGAATCGGCACCAGTTATTTTTTATTCTCCATTATTTTACTTCCTTTCTTTTTAAAGCTATATTTATGCGTCCCTTCATTTCATTTCTTTTTTAAGCTATATTCATTTTCTGTTTTGTCTATTTCAAGTACGGTATTGGCAATATTGCACATAATAAGTCATGCAAATAAAGCTTTTATGACTCATTAACATCAGCATCACAAAGAAAAAAAGTTAATCACCACATAATTAAGGTAGAAATGTATTAGAAATAATAATAGCAAATATAGAAAGAGGTAAAAGACAAAAAAATATACTAGCTAGCATTAATCTTTAAATGGAATTGAAATAACTGTCTGTTCTATTTGAAGAAGAATCATCTGCTGAGTGGTAATGTTATTATAGGGCAAACTGATTTTCTGAAAGCTGAATTAAAAGAAAATATCTACATTTAAAAAAGTGATTCAATTTTGAATGTGTAGTGGTTAGAACTTAGAAGTCCAAATCCACACTCTGTGAGAAGCACTGCTTTGGGAATGAATGGGTGCTGTAGAAGCCCCGCCCCATCCGGTTGCTCTTTCCAATGAAAACGCACGATGCACCATGACGTGACGTCACGCACACTGGCGTCGTGTCGGGATTGGAATGTAACAGAGTAACAATCGGAACAACTGAGCAAATAGGTGTTTGGACTCGCGGATCAAGGAACTCAGTTGATTTTATTCGCGGAGGAAACATCCTGTGAAACTCGCCCGTTTTTTTCTTCGCTAAACGCGAAACGTCGCTTTCCAGAGCCGGTGTCCTGGTGAAGAGGAAATCCACTTCTTGCGTGTGTGAAGGTCCACGGAGAGCGCAGGAATAAGAGAAATGCAGGGATTCGTGAGGTTACGGTGATCTGTCCCGTGTGTGTGTGTGTGTTATTGTTTCGGAGGTGAATGCATGGAGTTACGCTTTAGTTCAGCCTGGACGTGTGGTTTGGAAACGCAAAGCATCGGAGATAAACCTCGGTCGTTGCATTATTATTTACGACTTTGCATGTTTTCCAACGGGACCCCCTGTCCTCCAAAGACCCCGTGAGTCAGTGCCGCTGCAACTCTCCCGTGCGACTCGTTTCGTTGCGTTTTTATTTTAATCCTCCGCGGGAAAACTAAATCAGCGAGTATTTATACCTGATTATGTGTTTCTAATGATCAAAACCGGTGCGTTTGCTGGAGGTAATGGCTGCACTGTGAAATGTCGCTAGTATTAGACAGACGAGGGAGATCGAGGAGCCCGATGTAAAATCGCCCACATGCGCTTGATCAATCGCTTGCTATTTGCTGATCGGAATCTGAAGAGTTGTAAATCCTCGCAGGCTGGAAGATGGCGGAGCGGTACTATAGCTGGAGGAGGTGGTGCGGCTGCTTCTGCTGAGATACAAACTTGAAATTTATTTGCGAACACCGCGATCTGGACACATGCAGGCCAAAAAACGATATCTGATCTCGCTCTTGACTGGCGCCTTTCTAGTTTTGCTCTTTTACTTCGGAGGAGGGGCGGTCCCGGGTCCGGCGGCCACGGGGTCCAGGAGCCGACATGGATATAATCGTCCTGATCAACCGTGGCCGCACTTTTCCGATCCCTTACAACACTTTATCCCGTGGGACCATTCGGACACGGAGGGATATAACGTGCATATATCGCCCAGGCAGAAGAGAGACGTTAACTCGAGCGTTTACAAGGGCAAACGGTGCCGCATGCAATCATGCTTCGACTTCACTTTATGTCAAAGGAACGGATTCAAAGTCTACGTGTATCCGCAGCAGAAGGGCGAGAAGATCTCGGAAAGTTACCAGAACATTTTATCCACCATCGAGGGCTCTAGGTTTTACACTTCTGACCCTGGTCAAGCGTGTTTGTTCGTCCTGAGCTTGGACACTCTTGATCGAGACCAATTATCACCACAGTACGTGCACAATCTCAAAACCAAGGTGCAGAGCTTGCCTCTTTGGAACAATGGTAGAAATCACCTCATATTTAATTTGTATTCCGGCACATGGCCTGACTATACGGAAGACTTGGGCTTTGACATTGGTCAGGCCATGCTGGCCAAAGCAAGCATCAGTATGGAGAACTTCAGACCTAACTTTGACATATCCATCCCGTTATTCTCCAAGGATCACCCAAGGACCGGAGGGGACAGGGGGTACTTGAAATACAACACCATTCCACCTTTTAGAAAGTATATGTTGGTATTTAAAGGGAAACGCTATTTGACCGGCATCGGCTCGGACACGAGGAATGCCTTACATCATGTTCATAACGCGGAGGATGTAGTCCTTCTCACCACCTGCAAACATGGCAAAGACTGGCAGAAACACAAGGACGCGCGATGTGACCAGGACAACGCCGAGTATGACAAGTAAGTCCTCAAATTTACGTTGTTCTCATGTGGTCGCGATATTTCGGAAATTACCCTGTCAATCGTAATACTAGCTAGCAATAGTTTTTTTTTTTTTTTTTCCACCCGGAACTTAGAAGTTACATTTTAAATTGGCAAATTAGTTTGTTACACTTAGCAATGGGTTAAACTTCGTGTTTCACCCTGCTAATATAACGTTACTTCATTTTTTTCCTGGTTTAATTGTCAGGTTTTAACGTTTTTATTTTAAAATGTATGAGGTTACATGAGCTACGAAGTGCCTAACGTTAATCCAATTCATTTTGTTAACAATTTATAGTGCCTATAAATTATAGTGCCTATAAATTGTGCCTATTAATCTAATAGTGCCTATTAATCCAATTCATTTTGTTAAGTTATTAGAACGGAAAACATAGCTTACCTGTGAAAATATCGGCATTTGTCCTGTCTGTTTTGGTTCTAACGGATTTAACGGTTTAAAACTTTTTAGCGCGCGAAATTAGCCTATCTGCCGCTTTACAAAGCGCATGAATATTTAATTAGGTAAACACCTATGCATTTAATGATTGGTTGTCTTGCTAAGGTACTTTCTATGAGATTGGACCACCAACCCAGGTGTAAACCACGTTCATAAATGCCAAATGTTAAACCTTGCTTAAAGGGATAGTTCACCCAAAAATAAAAATTATCATCACTTACTCATCCTTAAGTTGGTCCAAACCTATATGAGGTTCTTTAATTTTTTGAACTCAAAAGGAAGATATTTTTAAAGAATGTTAGTAACTAGTAGCCATTGACTTTTTTCCCCCTATATGGCTACCATCAACTGTTTGACTAGTACCAACATTAGTGTTCAACAGAACAAAGACACTTGTAAAGGTTTGTAACAATTTGAGGGAGAGTAAATCATAACAATTTTCATTTTTGAGTGATTTATCCTTTTAACTCTGAGAAGTGGCCTTAACCTGAGGTTTTAAAGTCAAAAGCCTGTGATATTTTGGGAAACTGGTTACCATTGTAAAGTTTTGTATGGGAAAGTTGCCTTTACGTTGCAAACTGGGTCACAATTTACTTTATTGTTTGCAGTGTCTACTCTATAATTACATAAATACTAAGTATGCACTTGTTTCATAATTACACTTTCTTGCCATTGTGATTATAACTTAACACCAGTTGAACACGGCTGGGTCGCTTGAAATATGTTTTGCAAAAGCATCATACAGTCCAATTAACCCAGCAATGTGCAATTTTTACGCAAGCTGTTTCAGCGAGTTGTCATCTTGAATATTTTTGAAGCTATGCTTCATGTGCCATGGAGACCAGCAGACCTGTGTTTTTACACCAGATTGCAACACTTTTATTGCTTTAGAAAGCCATTTGACATAACACATTTTCAGGTACAGTTGTGAGCTGTTTTTAATATCACAACGCTTTTACACTCATCGTAAGACACCTCCACCATGGGAATTTTACTCAAATCTCAGATATTATAGCAAGTTAGCAATCCAGTCTGGATCTGTTTGGACACGTCTCATATGCTCGAAATATAACACTCTCTCAGCAGAGAGAATGGGCGTACGACCTTGCGTAATTGGAAGCTGACCCAGTGTAAATAAACCGTAATTGGAATCTTTTTTTGTCCTGAAATGTTTACACTCTCACAAGTAGATCGGTCACGCTAGCCGCGATTTCTGATTAAACAGATAGAAGTTAATCAATAATCCACTTTTAACTGTTGCCAATCTCTAAAATGGATGGATTGCATAGTCAAGCACATTGAATCACAATCCGTTAGAATTCACTGATACACTGTGAGGGTAATTACCTGGTGCATATCACTTCAAAAAAGCCTGAGTGCTCATTAATGGGATTTCAGACTCAGTCAGCGCTCTATATCCCACTCACTCCTGGTTAGTCATGGCTCTAATGCTGGTCGGTGTGCAGATATTTTTGGCACCATGTTTCTCCCTCCCATGATGCTGCCGAGGTGCATCTCAGCAGGATGTGGTGCTGTTAATTGGTGTGTGTGTCTGTAGGGCAGAACAGCTGTTTGGAACATGAGCGAGCTGAGCTATGCAAAAATGACCCAGCTTGACGGGTCTGCAATTTTTTTTATTTGGTTTATTGTTGTTGGTGTTTGCAATTTAACAATGTTTCTTTGGCAGTCTTGTTATAGAGTGGATGCATTTATCACAGGATCACACTCCCTCATTCGGACTGAGTGGCAGAAGAGCTGCTGAGTGACTGGATTTATTGGGGAAAATGAACGATTAGCAGTTTAAACTACGTAAAGTTTGGAATTGATAAAGTGTACCAAAGATCAAGTGATCTGTGGATATTGACATGCAGCCACGAGTCTGTTTCCTGACATGAGCCTGATTTATACGGGAAATACATGAAGACAGTTTGCCTGTGAATGTATCATGTAAATACAATAAAGGTAGATCTAAATCCGAGTGATCACATATCAATGTTATTCTATATATCGTCCAGCCCTAAAACTTGTAGAGTTTTTTTCAGTGTTTATCTAAACACTGAATTATGAAGAATATATAGTGGTAAATACATATTAAATTGATGAGTTGTCAATACAATATATAGTGTTTTTTTTTTTCTTTTTTTTAACCCCTAAATTCAGCATATTCGCAATGATAACTGCAAATCCGCCTGTTCTCACGTAAATGTGTCTCTATGGCACACATTGTGAATTGTCGTGTAATTTGTACTTGAAAATGAGTTTTTACGTGCTAATGAGACGCAATTAAACGTTCATTCGCGTGTAATACACACGCACCCCACACCACAGTCACTCCGGCCGACGATGACGTCACAAGGATAAACTATATTATTCAGCTTCTCTAAGTACCCAGATGTATTTCTTAGACCGCATCATTTTCCAGCTTTAAAATGACTTGCATCTGAATGGCTTCAGGCACCACTGGTCCATGCCAGACTCGTCTTTGAGACTTGGCCCAGCGATTGAAATTCCTCCATGCCACGGATTGGAATTTACCTAGCTGGAATAACTCCGCAGTGCCAAGCGTTATTAAACAAAAGATTCATTCAGTGCTGTGTCACAAAAGCACAGCGCTGGTCACTTCCCCAGCTGGACGAGTGGAAGAAATCCAATCTGCCTCGGAGTGATTTGTGGAAGTTGTCACATTGATCTGATACAGATGAAGGAAATTATTTCAAATCCCCTTGCTGCAAATGATATCAAGTCTGCTTTTAGATTTTTTTTCCCCCTCCTAATCTTGTTTCCTGGAAAATGAGTCGCTGCATAGATATTGCAGGGTAATATTTGCAATGTCAACATTTGTTCCCTTATAGTATCCGTGTTTTTTCTTAGTTTCTCCTTTAATACCTAACCAGATTCTTCAGACTTCATTAACTGTGTCCCTTAGCTTCTCCTCACCAGGGCATTCAAGGACACCGCCAGGACCTAATTTAATATTTAATCTCTTATTCCTGCTTATAGCCTCTTTAATCATTCCAAGATCTCAAGATAACAAACTAGTTTCCCCACCTGTAGTTTGATGGATGGGTTTTCTGCTAAATGTCAGCGTTACACTGGTAACTATGATGATGTTGCAACAGTTAGGGATGCACACATGAAAATATTGGCCGATACCGATAATTTTTAAATCTGAAAACCGATAACCGATATATTGGCCGATAAATCTAAATCCAACGGTTTTTTAAATTTTTGAGAGCCTGATAACAAAAACAAAAGTCTCATCATTAAAATTCATGTCCCAAACACTATTATAATGGTGTTCTCATTGTAATTGTAGCCTAAATGACAGACATGCGCTGCACATGTTGCATTAATTCATCACTCCTTTTTGAAGAGATTTCGATCATTTTACAAATTATTCATGTCGAACAGTGTGCATCTAAAATTTCTCAGCTGAAGGTAATAATCCATTAATTAATTTTCTCATCTGGCCGATAACATTAAAAATAAACACATATCGGCCGATACCGATATGGTGGCTGATATATTGTGCATCTCTAGCATTAGTGTTTGTCTTCATGGAAGGGCTGTAGTGAACACTGTAGTTTTCAATTAGGCATTTTTTTTTGTTTGTTTCTGTTTTGTCATATTAATAATAAATCATAAATTTTTCATGATCTCACCTCAGTCAGATAAAGTAATGGCCCGAGCTTGTGTGACAAATAATGTGAGGTTATTAGCCTGAATTGAGTTCTGCTTAATTACTGTTGATTATATATTTTCTGTGCATAATGTGCTTGGGCGAAGACAGCCTTTATCTGATCACAGCATTGGATAAATTGCATGTTAAAGTGAGGAGCTAATTTGTGTGTTTAGTTTGAAGTGTTTCCTTCACAGATGAGCTTTGAAGGTTTCTGCTGTAATTTAATTTTTTTAACTCGTTTAAATATTGGAGAGGTTGAGGCTTAAGGCCAATTTATACTTCTGCGTAGGGTGCGCGCAGTAGGTACGGCGTAGCATACGCACAGACGCGTCCCATTGCGCGTACCCTTCGCCGTCGCCTGACGCGCACCTCCTCAAAAATGTAACTACACGTCGCGACGACGCGGACCGCAAGATCGGTGATTGGTCGGCTTGGTAGCATCGCATTTCCTCCTACGCATTTCCGCACGTACCTTCTCACGCATTTCCATCACTGTCTATGATTTCCACACGTACCATCTCCTCCGACGTCTTCTCTCATTTCTGCCTTTCAGTTTTAGTAATTTCACTAAAGTGAACTGTTTTTCCACCTCAATAAGCTCCAACTCCAACATGATCCACTCTCTTTCAATCGCTATTGCTTGTAGTAACCTAGCCGCGAGGAATCTAAACACAGTGGGACATTAAAACTCTCCGCCGCCAACTAGCGTTTTGGAGCAGTGCTGCAGAGCAACAAGACCTGAACGCAGAAGTATAAATGCTCATAACGGCGTCGCCTACGTGCGTAGCCAACGCCGCACATTACGGCGTACCCTCGACGCGGAAGTATAAATTGGCCTTT